CAAGCCAGCCAGTCATGCCTTGAAGGCATTCGGAGCAAAAAAAAAAAAAATATGGTACAACATGTGCCCAAGTCAGACAGCAAAGTACTGTACAGAGAAATGCACTTCTGTGGCTTTACAAGTAGGACGTTGTTCAGAGGTTCAGCTCTCTGCTTCCCTCTCTCCACACCCTGTCTGCAGGAGCCTGCCAAATTCCCTAATCACTGTCTTCATCCTCTTCACAATGGATCACTGGAATGCACTGCTGCGGGACATGTGGCAGGTGCCAGAAGTCAGCTCCCTCATCAGCAGCACCTATATCATCCTCTGGGTGCTGCTTGGCTCCATTATCCTACGGAACGTCATAATAAGCACTATGGGTAAGCGGAGAGCAGGTGTGACCTGCGGGAGTGGCTGGGAAAAAAGTCATGAGTCATGGTGGGGACTGGTGGATTGTGGGCAGAGAGAAGCTAGTGCGGCAGGCAGGCTGCCATCCCGGAATGCATATGGCCCTTGATTTCTCCCCATGCAGCAAATAACTTCCGGGACATCCGGGACGAGCTGGACAAGGAGATGGCGCATCTGGCTGCTCAGCACAAAGCTGACATCCTCAAGCTGCAGATCCTCAGGAGGTCTGCTCCCCTTCCAAACTAAACTTTGTTCCCCAAGGGCTTTCTGACCAGATTCCCGGTTTCTACACTGTGTTCTGACCCTACTTTTGCCCTTGTGACGCAAGATTGGCCTGCAGACTTAAGACTTCCCAGGTGTGGTACATCACCTGATTCTTCATCTACTGGTAGGGCTCCCCAGGCTGCTGCTTCTCCTTTTTTTTTTTTTTTTTTTTTTGGTACCTGGGGTGAAATCAGGACCTTGCACTTGCCAAGCAGATGCTTGTGCCATTGAGCTGCATCCCCGGCTTCCCCAGGCTTCCTCACCCTCCGCTACAGTCTGTCCTCCCCACTCAGTTTATTTCATTTGCTGATCCAAAGTCTTATTTCTCACTGAGTTTTAGCTTAGGATAGCATTCTTCATTCCTCTTTTGTTTCTGCTTTTGTTGTTTGTCGCATGTGTATGTGTATTTTTGCAGGAGACAAAACCCATCTTTTACAACACTGCGGTCAAGCCACAGCCAAATCAATCCCAGGTGAGCAGTACATATGTGAAATGGGATGGCTCTCAACATTATCTGTCCATGTATGTCCTTAATCTCTGGAACCTTGGGAATGTGCCCTTATTTGGAAAAAAGGTCTTTGTAGATGGGTTAATATAGAAAGTCTTGAAATGCAAATATCCTGGATTATCCAGATGGGCCCCAAATTCCATGACCAGAAGGGTCATAAAGACAGGAGAGGAGACATAGACATAGAGTGTAGGCAAAAGTGATGTGAAGACAGAGATGGAGACTGCAGCGATGCAGCCAAAAGCCAAGGGAACCTGAGAAGGGCCAAGCAACAGCCAGAATGGGCAAGGGGGAAGGGATACTTCCTCCTAGAGCCTGCAGAGTTTGTGTGGCCCTGCTAACATTTTGATCTCAGCCTTCTGGCCTCCAAACTAGAAGGTGAGTGCATTTCTGCTTTTTGTTTCTTAAGCTACCAGTTTATAGTCATACATTATGGCACCCAGAGGAAAGCAATATAAATACCCTCAATGAAACAGGTAGTAGTGTAGGCCCTGAATGTTTAGCAGGGAGTGAGAGAACTTACATACTAGTGGGGGTGAAGAGAAAATAAACAAGCACATAAATAATGTGCTAGAATAGAAACCTTACAGAGAGATTAAAATTAGAATAGGTGAAAGGGGAAGGCATGTGTGTTATTGCACATGGGTATAGTTTGGAGTAGAGCAATTGGTTATCCTCTTTGAAAAGGAAAAATGTAAGCAAAGGTGTAAGTTGGGGAGGGAGCTTCCTTGTGAATTCCCAGTGGATTTGTTTCCATTAGGGGAAAGGTCCCAAGCTGGAAGCAGGCCTGGTGTGCATAAGAAATAGCAAGGAGGACATGCATCATGCCTGGGGCAGCATGAGAGGGGGAAGGTGGCAGGAGACGAGGGAGAGAGAGTGGGGTGGAGACCTGGCTGCGTGAAACTCATGGTCACCTCTGGGGACTTGGACATTTACTCAGAGGGAAATTGGAAGCGGGCCAGGGGAGTGGGAAGTGACTCGCATTTAAAAGGATTATTATGAGCTGGGCTTGGTGCCGTTCACTTGTAGCCCCAGCACTCTGGGAGGCTGAGGCAGGAGGACTGCAATGTCTAGCCCAGCAATTTTAAAAATCTGGGAATGTAGCTCAGTGCAAAGACACTAGATTCAATCTTTAGTACCTTGAAAAAAAAAAAAAAGGAAATAGGAATCTGGTTTTTGTGTTAATGGCAGACTTTGAGGGGAGAAGCCAAGTGTGGTGGCATGCTCCTGTAATCCCAGGACTCAGCAGACAGGCAGGAGGCTTGCAGGGCCAGCCTATGCTCCATGACAAGTTTGAGGTCAGTTTAGGCAACCTAGCAAAACTGTGTCTCAGAAAAAAGTTTTAAAAGGCTAGTGAGGAGCAATGCCATGGCCTGGAGAGGCAGTAAAGCTTATACCAGGCTACCTGATGAATTAGCGAGACAAAATGCATTTAATGGGAGAGCCAGCAGGATTTCTTGATGGACTGGATGTAGAAGAAAGAAAAGAATCAAGGAGGAGGCTGGCAGGCCTAAGCTTCCCAGTTTGGAGCTAAGTGGGTGCTCATCTCCTTAAGTCCCAGCTTTAGGGCACAGCCAGGGCCAGGGCGATAATGATGGGAGAGCCAGGGCGATCTTGTAAATGTGCTGCAAAGATTAAAGTATCTCCTTATGTGTTCAGAGAACTCAGTCACCACAGGACCTCTCTGGACTTCCAAGAAGCTGCTTCAGAACAAGATTCTAAATCTAAGCAGAGTGCTATTGAAAAGGAACTGATAAGCTCTTCCAAGAAAAGAGAGTCCTCAGTCGTTAGAGAAGAGTCCTCATCTTCCTCTTCTACATCTTCCTCTTCAGAATATGGTGGTGAGCAAAGGGGTTTTCCTCTTAAATTCAGACTCGAAGAGAATGATATTTTTCTCTGTCTCCCTCTCCCACCTCCTTTTTCTCTCTGTCTCTCTCCTCTTTTGACAAGGTCTGGCTTTGTGCTCCACGCAGGCCTCGAGTGGCCCCGGTGGGCCACCAGCTTCCAAGTGCTGGGATCACAGCTGGACACGCACTGCTCTTAGCAAGACTCGCAGTCTTAAGAGCAGCTGTCCCACTCTGCATGCACTCCAGTTTCTCCACCAGTTTGATTCTCTGGTCAAAATTTATGCCTCTTTAATTTTCCCATATGAGCTACAGATAATGGCTCAGTGGTAATGCACTTACTCAGCACATGTAAGGTCCTGGGTTCAATTCCCAGTACCTCAAACATTTTATAACTTCTCTGTACTTCCTCCTCCTCTCTGGTAAATGTAGCTGTGGCCCTTTGTGCATTGAGAAAAGTCAGCTGCTGGTGATGTGCCCTTTCCCTCCATGTTCCCCACTTCCTCCACCCTTGCCACCTTCAGCAAGTGCCACAGGACTTCTTAGCTCTTCTCCAGCATCTGCCAGTGCAGATGCGTCAGAGGCTTCCTCCCTACAGGTGAGCCAGACTGGGAAAACCTGGTGCATCAGAACCTCCACGAGCTCATAGAAATGGATCAGGATGAGTACACTGTATGGCCCCGAAATCTCCTCTTGCGATATCTGGAGCTGCTGGAAGAGCTTCAGTATAATCTGGAGGAGCGGAAGCAGCTGCAGCAGTTGGCAGGTCTGGCTCTGGGGCACCAGGAGGACCAGGAGCTGTGGACGCGGGAGTAGCATACATAGCCAGGGAGATGGGGGTGTTGCTGTTCTAGCCCCTCAGCCTCTGGGGTGTGCTGCCCCTTAATTCCTGATTCTTATGTCATGTTCTAGGCAAGCATCCTCATGACCTCTCACTTTGGGAGAACCTAGACATTCGCCTCTCCAGCGAGGGCCATCACAGCCCCACGAGCTCTGGGAGGTTGTTCCCCACAAGAAGCATATCCAGCCCTGGTTGTTGGGATGGAGGACAAAGTGCACTCTTGCTGATAGCATAGTCCACCAGGGAAGCACTTATTCTACTGAGCCATCTCCCTGGCCCCGCTCCTTCTCTTTGAAGGTGTCATTTCAAGCTTGACTGGCAGGGTCCTGGCTCCCCTGGGACGGGAGCAGAAGGATGCTCTTGTGGGCATTAGACGGGGAGCAGATAGCCCCCAGGTTCCCACTGCCAAAAGCCCAAAGCACTGCTTTAGTGCCTGTTACACATATACTTTATAAGGTCCTACTTTTACCAAACTGAGCTTAATTTGAATTAATAAAATGTCCCCCTATGTATAAAACAAACCGAAACAAAAAACTGCTAGAGGCAGGCTTTTTTTTTTTTTTTTTTTTTTTTTTTAATGTATTTGATACGGGCTCTGCCTACACAGCTCAGACTCATAGTGATCCTCCTGTTTTCAGCCTCCTCAGTGCTGGGATTACAGGAATGTGCCACCATACCCAGACTCTGTGGTTGGCTCAGCAGGGGCGGGGCCAATACATTATGTGGTGCTGGGAATCGAACCCCTGTCCTTGAGCTTGCCTAAGCAGGTGCTTGGTCTGCTGAGCTATCTTGCTGGCCCTTTTTTAAAAAACTAGTGTTACTTGATTATCTTCCTCATACCTTGTTGAAATCAACCCAATGTGAAAATAATTAGGGAGAAAGACTGTGTGTGTGTGTGTGTGTGAGAGAGAGAGAGAGAGAGAGAGAGAGAGAGAGAGAGAGAGAGAGAGAGATGGGGGCACAGGAGGGCAATAAATGACCCTAAAATATGAGATTCTCTCTCAAAAAACAAAATAAACGAACATTGCCAGGTATGGTGGTGCAAGCGCTTGGGAGCAGGAAGATCACTGTGAGCTCAAAGCCAGCCTGAACTACGTAGTAAAATCCTATCTCAAAAGAAAAAAGAAAAAAAGATTTGTGTGGAAATCTAGAACCCAGAAAAGAAAGGTCTCTACCAAACGTGTATAGGTTTAAGATAGTCTCAGTTCTGCAGCCTCACAGTCTGTTTCTTTACAGCGCAGGCACTGATGAATTTCCAAGACAGGTAACATGCACAACGAACAGCTTCAAGATTTGGGGGCCCAGCAAAAGATAATGAAGGAAATAGTTGAAAATTATCAATGTCTAATAAATACTATTCATAATATTGCTATTGAGTAAGTTAACTCATTACGCCTGGACACGGAAGATGGAAAGGCCTGAAGTCAGGCAGAAAAGTTAGCTGGGAGCACTACACCGCATGGATTCCCTCCCTCCTCATGCGCCTGTGTCAGATTCCTTGGGAGTGTGCTGTTTTTAGCCAGTCCTTCTTGCAACCTCCTCTTCCTGCTAAGAATCTTAATCGTACTCGTTCCTTCCCACTGCAGCCTGCACAGGCCTCTGTAGGGGAAGGAGGGCCCTGCTGCAGCACTGTGACAGATTGAGAAGTGTCATTCTCATAGCCTGCTCTGCTGAGGTTGCTTCTCGCGTGCAGCATGAACTTCAGTGAGACACAGCTTACGCTGGTCTCAGGCCAAAAGAACAGTCCATTTTTACAAATGTATTTGGTACAGGGCCTCACTGCGCACCTTGGATGTGTCAGCCTCAGCCTCCCCAGTGCTGGGATTACCATGCCAGGTCTCGGTGACCCACTCAGTGCATTTGGGGGTGGGGCTGGCAAGGGGATAGTAACCCCGGTCCATGCTTGCCTCAACAGGTGCTTAGTCTGCTGAGCTATCTTGCCAGCCCAGACTGGTCCTTTTTAAAATTCCATCTCTTTGCCATTGCTTGGGCAGTGTTTGAAGCTCTAAGTGTTCCGCACGTGTGTGTGTGTGTGTGTGTGTGTGTGTATGTGAGCTGTGCTTAGCATCTTGTGTACACTAAGC